TATGTCAAAGAATTGACAGAGGTCTTCAATATGCCAATTCAGAAAGTTGCATAGAAGTAGTATAGATTCCAACATATTCCCTTTTTAAGGAGGAAATTCTTCAAAATCATCTGTCAGTTTTGAAAAATTTTAATATTCCCAACAATCAAATTGAATTTGAATTACCATACCTATACTGGATTCCTAAACTACATAAAAACCCTTATAAACAAAGATACGTAGCGGGTTCCAGTAAATGTTCTAACAAGCTTCTTAACTCCTCACTAAAATACCAACAGTAGTGAATGAGAAACTTAATGAGTACTGTACAACAATATATTCGAGAAGTGTTATAAATCAAATGTGGATACCTTAAAACTCCAAGAACTTTTAGAAAATTTTAACGCACAAAATTGTACCAAAATCGATAACATCAAGTCTTTTCAACACTTTATACAACCATTCCCCACGATAAATAAAGTCCAGGCTTTTTGACATCATAGACAGCTGCGTTTTCAATAAAAATAGAACTTACCTTGTCATTGGTCATTTGCAGAAATTTTTGTTTAAAACATACTGATTGAATACACAAGTACACCGAAGTTGATATTAAAAAAGAAGCTTGAGTTTCTAATTGACAATATCTATGTAGATTTTGGAGATCAAGTCTTCCAACAACCTGTCAGAATCTCCATGGGTAATAATCGCGCCCCGTTATTAGTAGGAGTTTATGTTTCCCAGTTGATATTTGATACGCAAGAGAATGTTCTACGTACGAATAATTTCTAAAACAAGGCAAGCTATTGACAAATAAGTTGGTGAAACAAGAATATCAATAGTCCCTTTTAAAATCATCATTTTGCAAATTCTATGGTCGATACAATGACCTTGTCGCCAAATACAATCTATCATTAAGTCGAATGTTGACTGACTGTTTTTTTTTTCATACTAATTGTTAGGCCATTATTTCATACTAAATTGATTAATTTATCATATGTACTAGGAACACTGGTATCGTTTATGTGCTAATAAAAGCGGTCGTAGCTATTGGTCAGTAAAATCACAATAAAAAGGGGAAATACTTGGCACCTGATCCCACATCTGATGTTTTAGATGTGGGATCGGGTGCCAAGGAGGAGTCCGTGTTTGCTCTGCTCCAAATGTGTATTGTTTCAATGGGCCTTGAGCATGATCACTTTTCATTCACTTCAAATTTCATTTGATTTATTCATAAAATAGTATCTTTTTTATCATGTTTACATTCCATTTGAAAGCCTTACCTAGCACTTTCATTCTGTCAGAAAAACTATACATTCTTTCTTAAAGAAATATCCATTCATTTTAAGAATGGACTTTTCCCCCGCTTTTGCGAAGGCAATGGGACATTAAATCTCATTTGTCTGTTAGTCTATCTATCTGTCAGTCTGTCTGTAACAAAAACTTTAATTTTGGTCACTTTTAATGAGAAAAGTTCATTACTTTTGAATGAGAAAAGATAGGACTTTCATATTTCACATTTGCATTACCCGTGACAAAACCTTTCCAAATATCCTATAATTTTTTTACCCCTTGACCTTGAAGTTTGACCTACTTTTCGAAAATTTTAACACTGGTTTATAGAATGTGAGAAGATAGGGCGTTCATATTTGACATGTACCTGCGATTATTTTTTAACACCGTGACCTTGACCTTGAAGTTTGACTTAATTGTCAAAAATTATATAATTGCTGCTAACTTCTGAAGGAGAGTAGATAGGGTATTCAATTTGACCTGTGCATTAGCTTGACAAATGTTTCCAAACATACTATGATTTTTAGCCCCTTGACCTTGAAGTTTCAACTAATTTTGAAAACTTTAAACATTGCTGATAACTTCTGAATGAGACAAGAAAGGGCGTTTATAAATGATATGTGCATTACCTGTTACAAGACCTTTTCAATGTACTATGATTCTCAGCCCTATTACCTTGACCTTAAATTTGACCTAATTTTCATAAATTTTAACGCTGCTAATAACTTTTGAATGAGAAGATTATCAATTATATTTGACATGTACATTACTGTTTAAAGATCTTTCCGAATGTACTCTAGTTTTTACCTCGTGACCTTGACCTTAAAGTTTAACCAATCTGTAGTTTTTGTTTTTTTTTGTTTTTTTTTTTTTTTTGCAAATTTATTTTACATTAGTAATAACTTTCGAATAAGAAAAGCTAGGGTTTTCATATTCTACATGAATATTACCTATGACAACACCTTTCAGGTACATTACTTAAGACAACACTTTTCAGAAAATACTATCATTCTTGACTTCATGACCTTGACCTAAAATTTTGACCTACTTATCAGAAATTTAAACTTTGATTCTTCACCAGGAGTCACATATGATAATAGTCTTGTTTCGGAGGCCGCATTAGAATAATATTCTGTATGTGATTTAATACATTCAAGATTTCCAGGTTAGAAGTACAGTACCGACCAGACACAACCTAACACCAGAGCGAACCCAAAGCGCACCCCGGGTTCGCTTTCTGGGTTCGCTCGGGGTCCGCTTTCAGAAAATTTGGGTGCGCTCTGGGTTCGCTTCGGGTTCGCTCTGCGTTCGCTCGGGGTCAGCTCTGGGTCCGCTATAGCGAACCCGGCGTTCGCTTTCTGGGTTCGCTTTACGCACTCAAGCGTGAAGCGGACTCCGCTTTAATCTTGCCGCCAGTAAGCTCCGCCCCTTGTTTATTCCAAATACAGCAGTGAAATCGATCATTGTTGTTTTTGTGGCGATCGATACATTTGCATGTACAGTGGCTGTAACGTTATTGTTGACAACATACACGAACGATCACGTTTTACACAAAATAGTTAAAAATTCTCCGACTTAGAAATTTCTTTTTTATCTTTTTGATACGTAAAGATGTAATTATGATCGAATGCGGCATGTTCTATCACATCATATAGGTTGGCTGTGAGTTTTGATTCAATTGGATTTCACGATATGCAGTATGGGGGTAAAAGATTTTTAATAAAAGTGGCCTAAAAATGAATGAAAACTTATATTCATGTTTTCAAAAATCAGCATTTTTTTTAAAAATTCATTCATCTTCAGAAATTTAAAATGCATGTAATAATAAGAATCAGGGATAAAAAGTAACCCCGACAATCATGTCGTGTACATTTGCCGACTAAATATTTATGTAAGTATTGGCAATTATTAATTTTTTTGTAAAAATGTACCTTTCTGATGTATTGATATAAAAATATCATGACCACAATAAGCAGTTAACGGAGCCTATCATCAGAGAAAAAAATCGTTAAACATCTTAAATACGCTTTATCATTTAAAGTTACGCTATTTTAAAAGAATACAATACTGTACGACTTTCCTTATTTACTACCGATAATTAGTTCGTTCAATAATGTACATGTAAATCGCGTTTTCTTTTTCTTTTTATTTCAGTTAAAAAAAACCAAGGTAAATCAAGCTTTACATTATTTTTTTGTAAAAGATAAATCAAAATAATACCATAGTAGTTTACGATTGGACATACTGTATCCCCAATTCTCATTATATCGCGGGTTCCATTGTATCGCGGTATATTTCAAAAATTCGGATACATAGATCATATCCTTTTTGGTGATGGACTATCTGTCTGTCATCTGAATGTTGACTTTTGTGATGATTAAAAAGTATGGAACATCCGTTGGAAAAATCTTTATTCAAATAAAACGTAATTTTACAGATTTCCATTCCCGTTTTTATTTTATTTAGACCATTGAATTTATAACCTGTAAAATCCATAATAAAGTTCATAATTTAAAAGTCTTAAGTTTGTATTATTGTTTAGTTTTCATGTAGAATTACATCGTAAATTTAAAAATAAAAATTGAAGTCCATTTCAACTACAACCTTCCATGTTTTTCCTACCGCGATATAATGAGACTCTCCAATTTAGGAGGTAAACAAGACTTCCTGCTTTAGACTACAAATTAAACGATGCAAGCTTGAAAAAAAAATTGACAATAAAAAGTTAGTCCATAGTTAGGTTTATGAATATCATTTGATAAAGGTTAAAGTAAAAATTTGGAATTACACTTTTTATGCAAAAGAATTAAGTACCGCGATATAATGAGACACCAGTATACATGTACATTTATGCTGTTCTTTGTTTTTTTTCAATTTTTTTTTTCAATTAAGAAGATCAATAGTTTTGATGTTGATCTGGATTTAAACAAAAATGTAAATTAGAATTATAAAAATAAAATAATTGAATGAAAGATCGTACATATACATAATCTTGTACAGTATCTTGAGATTATGAAATGCTATAATTTGTCAAAAACCTTTTCTCTCTCTCTCTCTCTCTCTCTTTTAGTAACAATTGTGAAAACCCTTATTTTCTTTTTTTATACATTAAAGAACATTTTGTCTGATAAATTTGCGCAATATAAATTAATGGATTTTAAAAATAAAGAATAAAGAAAATCAATGTGTAAATATAACATGCATCTTGGATAATTAAAATATAAATATAATTTCTTTAATCATGTTAATAATAATTTCACACTGTACATTAACACGCTTTGCTTGTAGAATGTTTTATTTACATCGAATGACAAACTGGCATGCTGATCGGTCGACGCGCTGATTGGTAAACACGTCTTACCGCTAATCCTGATTGACAGCTCTGTTACGCAACACCGAACGCGCGTTCGCTTGCTGGGTTCGCTACTGAATTTGGGGTTCGCTTTCGGCGTTCGCTCTGGGTCCGCTGCGGGTTCGCTCGGGGTCAGCTATAGCGAATCCCAAGCGAACCCAGGAAGCGAACCCGGGGTGCGCTTTGGGTTCGCTTTCTGTTAGGTTGTGTCTGGTCGGTACTGTACAGTATATTCCAGATTACCTGTGTTCATTGACCTTGAATGGGTGAAATATATAAGGATGCCTACCATAACTCGGATGTTATATCATATTTACACTGAATTTTATTATAAACTTTGTATTGATCATATAATTATTCATAGTTGTTGTATCTAGGGATGAGTGCTAACAGTGATACTACGAATAATGTGAGACTAATATATATGCTTACTCAGTGTTTTCCTTGTTCACAGAAGTGCTCGCAGTTTCCGATTTCTTACTCATGCGGATGTGTGCAGGGGCATAATACTTTTTAACAAACTGTGATATCTGCACTTTTTATTTGATTTTTGTGTATAACAAATAGGGAAGAACAGGGATTCAGGACAGACTGGGGAGAACTACCGCCAGGTAAGCTTTAAGAGGTTAAAGAAAGATGCATTAAGGTTCAGAGTAGATTCATCTACCTTCTATTTTGTAATGGTATTCTAAAAAGTTTTCAATTTCTTGTAAAAGTATGTTGGAAATTAATAAACTTATAATGAATTTGACTTTCCAATCTGAAAGAAAACTTACCTAATTATTAACATGTATTTACACGACTAATAGTGTGCCATCATATCAAAAGAAAATGTTTTTAATCAATGTTTTAATTATAGCATGAAGATATCTGGTTTTCTTCTGTTAATGTGTGGAGTGTTTTCTGTTCAATCGGTGGATACAGGTGAGCTAAAACACCTACGAATTATAGTATGGGCGACAATGAATCGCAGTGTCAATTTTATCTCTATTAACGCTCTTAATATAAAAAAAATGTATAATCTACTAGTCTATGTAAATTTGTTATTGATCCCCACAGAACTTTCCTTGTAATATGACGATTTCTAAAGTATATTTTCCAAAAAACTATTTAGGAGTATAAAGGTCAATTATGAACTCTCATATTTTCTGTGATGATAAATTCTATGTATATAGAAACTGAATTTTACCATTTGTCGATAATGATTGTTTTCATCTTGAAATTGAATAGTGCTAAAAATACATCAATGATTATACCCGCACTTTCTAAAGAAAGTTCGGGTATATTGTTGTTACTCATGTCTGTCCGTCCGTCCGTCTGTCACACTTTTCTTTCTCAAACTCCTCTTACATTTTACACAGTAGCCTAATCATCTTTTGGGAGATGGTTGGTGGTGTCATGTAGATGTGCAGTAAGGTTTCGGAATTTTCATTTTCACCCTAGGGGTCAAATGGGGGTCGAAAAATGACATTTTTTATGCAAAAAGCCCCTGGTTCCCTGAACTCCTCTTACATTTTACACAGTAGCCTGATCATCCTTTTGGAGATGGTTAGTGGTGTCCTGTAGATGTGCAGTAAAGTTTCGGAATTTTCATTTTCACCCTGGTTTTTACTCATAGAAGCTGAATTTTTCTGAATCGATGATTTCTATTTTAAACCCTTTACATTTACTTTGAATTTACATTGTCGATTTCCATTTTAAAAATCAATATTGCAAAAGCCGTGTGCATTGATGATTCTTAAGAATCAAAAATCGAATCAGTAATAATTCCCTTCTAAATCACAGCTTTCAAGAAGGTGATTACATGTATTTTTATTTAAAAACTTGACATTGCAAAAATTATTGTCAATATTTATTTCATTTAGAAACTGAATATTGCCAGAAACAGAAGCTAAACGACAACCAATGTGCTTTATCTGGAAAATGGAGAAATCAGCTCCAGTCGGAGATGGTAATTACCTGCAAAGACGGAACCATCTCAGGCAAATATACCAGCGCCGTGGGGCAAGCTTCGAAGGAGTACGAGCTAATGGGGAGGTATACACAGGTCAATGACAAGGACTACATGGTAGGGTGGTCAGTGGCTTGGAAAAATCAGTATCAAGATGCCAAGTCCGTTACAAGCTGGACAGGCGTATTTTACGGCGCGGAGGGCGTGATTAGGACCCAGTGGATACTTAGTAGCTTCGAAGATCCTGACGATTTCTGGGAGACGTTCATTACTAACCAAGATACTTTTAGCAGAATTAGCCAGTGTTAAATTTCTATAGCTTCCAGATTAGAGAGTGTTAGATAGCTTCCAGATTTAAAACAATTTAAATGTATGTCATTGACTACCGGGTATGCCTAATTTTATAATCATTATAACTTATTTATATGTCTTTGGTATCGTTGATTCTCAGAATGCTTAGCCTTTACGAAAATTTCCCCCATGGAAGATAATCATTAAAACTAAAATGATTTTAAAAATGACATTTGATTTTCAACATGTACGACACATGATAAACAACAGTAAAATGTTTCCAAACCTCTTGTTAAATAACAGGAAGACTGAGCATAGACACAAAAACGATCTTTCAGCACAGAGACAGGATGGTCGCTCTCCCTTAATGGATAAGGCAATTTAAAATTGTACATACTTGAATTGTTTCAGCAGGCCCTTATCTGTGGCAAGCCCAAAGTTCAGACATACGTACTTGTTTCAAGGAAGCGTAAATATAGGAGCTTAGTTAGGAGGTCTTTCTTATTAAAGTGAGATCTTTTTTTTTTTTTTTGGGGGGGGGGGGGGGTAGGGGTTAACATCTTTAACCAATGGTCAGTGGGACCTTTGAGGTTCAACATTTTTCGTAAAGACGTTAATGTGCGAAAACCACAATAATTCTCTCTCTCTCTCTCTCTCTCTCTCTTTGTGTGTGTGTGTGTGTTTAAATATGAACATAAAATAAACCAAAATTGTTGCTAAGGTAAAACCGGCATAAACCTTTGAAGAAGCCCTCGGTATGAATCTAAGCTTTGGTAAAATAATCATGATGTTTTCTAATAGCAAAGCAGCTGAATTTCATTAAAAGTGGACAAAATGGTATAAAACTCGCACTTAAAATATTACTCGACATTGTACTTCTCTAAACACCACTAGATAAAGTTCAACAAACTATCGACAGTCATAAAGAAACTTCTTACGTGTACAATTTTCTTTAAAAAGTTCAACACTCAAGGGTTTTTCGTCTTTTAAAAGTCTACTCATAAAAAAAGTAAATGAGCGTTCGTACAAGAAATGTATATTGAATTTGGTAGCAGTAGCGTTTTTTGTTGTTGTTTTTGTTTTTTTTAATAAAATATAATATCAATTGATTTCCAGTTTTGCAGGAAAACGATGCTCAAGTGACTGTTTTGTGTTTATGCCATATGTTTTAGTATTTATTTTATTGTTTTAAAGCAATTGAAAATTGTTTGATTAATTGTGTTGTATAACAACAGTCATTTGGTGGAGGTAGGGTTATTTTTGGGGGAGGCTGTTTACTGCATATAGAACACAAGGGCGGATCTAGAGGACCCCCCCCCCCCCTTGGAATTTTCAGAGTTATTGAATTTCTATGTAAAATTAACGAAAAATTACCTTGAACCCCCTAGGAAATACAGACCCCTCTTAATTTTAAGAATGTCTTCTACAATACCCCCCACCCCCACCCCCACCCCCTCCACACACACAAAACAGGTTTCTCAGGCTTAGGCAAGTTGTTAAGCTTTTTTTTTCTTTTGCTTGTTAAAAAATTTCCGATTCTGACATTTGTTGATGTAGAACACCCCCCAGAAATTAAAAAAAAAATCCTGGATCCGCCCCTGGAACAGTACCCTCATTGATAATTGTCTGAAATCTCAGTTCGATACAAAAACAAAATTCTCAACAATATGTCTTGCCCATCGTCCAAAATCGTGAATCACAAAACCATATTGCAACAAGCCAGCTAAAGACTCTATATGACAGGTGTTCCTTTTTGACCAACAGAACGCGAATGTGTTTGCATGCTGTTTCAAGCGATATTTCATTCATTCTGGCCTTTCAGATGTTTGGGATGAAATGGATCATAGTCCACCCCTTTGACTGGCTAAACTTGGTTAGAGATGTGTAACATTATTTCACAAGCCTTTCTGAAATATTTGATTACATCAATGAGGCGACGTTGTCAATATGTATGGATGCTGGTGGAAGCCATGTCTGTTATTGAATTCTGGAATCATCTGAATTCATCTTTATTTTTTGGTGTCATTACATGACCCTGCTGTAAACTTTTAAGCTCACCTGAGCCAAGGACTCGAGCATTTTGGATTGAAGGGTGTCCGGCGTCCGTCTGTCGTCTGTACACTTTACAAGGCCAGTTTCAATCAATCTTGCCACAAAGCATCTGTGAGTGAAAGAAATACAAGTTTGTTCAAATGAAGAGTCATGCCCTCTTCCAGGGCATCCTCGGGTAGTTAACAATTTAAGTTTGTTCAAGTCATGGTCCCCGGAGGTAGGGTGGGCCACGATAGGGGATCAAGGTTTACATATGAATATATAATTAGAAAAAAATTTGAAAGGTCAAGATCAGCAGAGTCATGATTAGTCGTATTAATATGGAAACACTGTCAGGTTGTGTAGGTTAGTTTTATCATATCATGGCCCCTGGTTATCGTGAGGCAAAATAAGGTATCGGAATTTGTAAAAAAAAAAAAAATAAATAAATAATAATAATAAATAAATAAATTAAAAAAAAAAAAAAAAAATTCAAGAGTAGGGGTCACACTAAATTATATAGATATGGAAACATACCTAAGTTGTATGAACCCTATTTAATTATATACATGTATAAGGACCCTTGGTTTAGGATGAGGCTTAAATTTTTGATCAAAGTTTTCGTAATGCATGTGTACAGGGAAAAAAAAACTTCAAAAGATCTTATCCAGGGGAACAGCAGAGTCATGTTAGTCCATGCTCGTAGCAACGGTTTCAAAGTCGGTGGGGGATCTACCCCCCCCCCCCCAAAAAAAAATCAAAAGCGACTGAGCATACGTACTAAATTTTTACTCGTAAAGATTTGGCGGTGAGGTAACAGCATTTCCCGTTGAACACCGTGACATAAGCCAGCTATTGCTCAACGAGCAATGAGCCCGGCTAAAAACTGACAAGCAAATAAAAAAACAAAAAACGAAACTAACCAAACAGTGGGGGAGAGGGGAGAGGGCAACTTCCCAAAATAATCTGACAAACAAAAAAAAAACCCCTAATTAACTGTCCAAATCCTGGAATTTGCAAGTGCTCGACCATACAGCAACAAAAAGAGATGGGGGGTTGTGGGGTTGTTTACAGACTTAAAGGAAAATTTATTATAGCAAAATACTATACTCAGAAAGTGGGGGGGGGGGGGGGTGTTGCCTTTGGGCCTCTTGTTATTTTTGGGGGGTCAAAATGAACGTGTAATAACCTCCACAGTTTCTAACAAAAGTGTTGTCAAATTATAGGTAAATGCACGAAGCAAAATGATTTTAGTTTAAATCTATTGATAATTCATAATTCTAAGAAATGTACAGATACTTTTTTTCTTTAGTTTGGACCCTAGGGAATGAAAATATAATTTTATCATTGGTTATCTCATCATGTACCATACAAGTACCATACATTTATAGAGATCAATATCGACACATGGATAAAACTGGAAATAATTTGTAACTAAAGACCTAACAACCTGTATGTATTTTGACTTATGGTTTACAGAGGCTTCAGTCGTGTTAAAAATTCCCCAAATGTCCTCAGTATTGGTGATTTTTCGTAGAATTTTATATACTTGTTTTTACTTTAAAAAGCAGAGCACTTACAGGGAAATCTGTGACTTTCATATACTTTACTGCTAAAAATATCAAAATGGCAGATCAAACATCAGCTTGTTTTCTATGGTTCACAAAGGAAAATGTATCTTGAAATTGACAATAAAAGTGTAATGAAATAAATCAATAAATTTGTAACCTTTGTGCATGTGTGTGCTATAAAATTATTTCAAATATGAAAACACTCAGGTCAAAAAAAAAAACATAAACAAAAACCAAAAAAAAAAAAAAACCAAGGGAGAAAGGGGGATACAGGAATTAAAGACGCCCTATTTGTTCTTTGTCGCAATATCTACTGACACGGGGAATGATCGTCCATTAACAAGGAGATTTTTTTTGGTATTTCAGTAGATTATAGCCATTATAAAGAATAAACTCCAACCCACCCACCCACCCCCCAAAAAAACCAAACAAACAAGCAAATAAAACACACACACCCAAAACACACACACACACACACACACACATCCTCACACACACACACACAAATAAAACAAAACAGCAATTTCAACTAACAGCATGATTATATTCATTATACAATTTAATGATGCGAATAAGGGTAACAATAAACTGTACTGGAAACTAATGAAAGACACTTCCCGTATTAAACTTTCATCAGGCATAACCCACCCTTCCCCGGGGTTCACTATATTTTTGATAGTGCAAATAATACAACGGCATTTCCTGATCTTGAAAAAAGTTGAGATACATAAATACTAATATAGAAGACATTGTCAACAATCTTCCAAACAAATATTCACGATAGGTTAAGCAATATGATCATTCAAAAGTAGGAAATAATTGATGTAATATCCGTACTTCCAGTAAATAAAGCTATTGAACAAGATTGCACAAGTCATAAAATGCTGAAATCAACAATTCTGACTTTTTCAAAACCACCAAGATCTCTGAAAGAAACTGTTTTCCCCAATTCTTGGAAATTAGCTCATGTTTTCCTCTGTTTAAAAAGGATACCCCATCTGTAACATCAAATTACAGTCCGGTTTCACTATTGAGCTGCGTTAGTAAAATTATGGAAAGAATAATTTTTAAACATGTTTATAATCATTTTCATGCAAATTATTTATTCTACAAGTATATAGGCGGGCTTTTTAAGGAGAGACTTTACAAAGTTACTGTTACGACATAGAAAAATGTTACATTTACATTGAAATGCCTTGACATATTGAAATATTTAAGCCTGCTTATCTGAATAGTTACGATAACAAAGTAACACTTCTCATAAATAATAAACATCTTTAAGATAATAGAGTACAGTTAAATGCAATTATATTGAATTTTCAGTAGGTTGAAAGAATTACTTTCGCTCTCGGTACATGAACCAAAAAATATCTATTTTAAATTAGTAAATAAAATTAAACTGACAAGCGACTTGAATGTTAAAAAGTATAACTTTAACGCTCCATGTGAGAATCGAACCAAAGACTTCTCTATATTTGAGTGCTCTGGACTGGTAACGCATACTACTAAGCTATCATCGCTTTACAAACAATGGAATTTGAAACGACAGTGAAGTATCGCATTTACACACTTTTTTTTTTTTTTTTTTTTGTGAAAAAGTTCATTTTTGTCTCTTGGTCTTTTGTACTTTTTATGTTTGAATTAAAATGCAGACACACAAATAGAGTTTTAAAATCGTGGATAGATGACCCAAAAATAGGAAATTTTTAGAAAAAGTGTTTAAAAATGTAACATTTTGAACCAAATGACTCATTTAGGCATATTTTAAGTTATTCTTTATCATAATAAAACACAGTATCCGGAAAATGTTCCCCTTTCCTATTTCACAGGAACCCGATACATCACTGAAAAGAATGCTAAAATTTCGTGAGACAGATCATGAAATTTTCACTTTTGTGTGCATCTAGATTTTTGCCGAATGCCAATCAAATGTACCCTCGCTTTTTGTTTTTTTTTTCTTTCTTTCTTTTTCTTCTATAGTACATAATAATATACATTTACTTTATTTTTAAAATCGCAGAACGAAAATGTGACTTGTGTTACTCAAATTGTAAATATGATATAATAGAGAGAATGCGTGCATACTTACTCATGGCATTTTCAAAAATCATCCAATTTAATATTTATTCTATTACTGATTAATTGGCGTGCTACACCCCCCCCCCCCCCAAAAAAAAAACTTCATTTTTATTCATTCTTAATTTATTTTATTTAGAATGACATGTCAAAGATTGTTGCAAGGGAGCTAATTCAATAATAAAATTCTGTCTCGTCAATTACAGTTGTCTTCCTTGTCTCATTTTTAGACATATTTTCCTAATCGTAACGTTATATAGAGATCTATGAGTATTTCTTCTTTTGGTGTAAAACAATATTATCACAAAGAATAGGAAGTTTACGTCTCTTTGCACCCCCCCCCCCCAAATTGATGACCTACTTTTAAATAGGCCAAAAATATTTACTGCGGAACTCTAATATTTTAGGACGCCATTTTGGATTTGTAATAGAAAGGCTGGGTTGATGCGATTATTTATAATCACTTAGAGTATACATGTTTTCAACATAAAAGGACATTAAATGCAGATATGAGTTGGGGAACAGAGTTATGGGTAAGTAAAGGTGCCTTGATTTATGAAGAGTTTATTAATATTGCGGGGCATCTACAGTGATGAGGAAGAGATTGCAGACAAGTTAACAACCCCCATCAGCTTATCATTGAAGAGGGTTAGGAGTGTAAAATAACGAGGAGTATTGTGCTTTGTGTTCAAAGCAACTATTTTTTTTTTTTATATTTGAAGTTCTCCGTACAGTATGATAATACTGACATAAGTAGTAATGGTGATTTTAGTTGAAACTCTGTCTTTGTGATTTGTTTATGTTTGTAATGGTTGGCATTTTTCCAGTCTGTGATGAGGTGAAGTGGTGTTTTGGCTTGAAAGCGTCAAACTTGGTCAGATATGACAGTCTCAGTGAAAAACTGATAATCATGTAGCGATGATGCTAATATTTGGATAGTATAATCTCAAAACAGTTATTTTTTGATTCCCCCAACACTGAAAACACACTCAAGTTACGTCCACATACACTTACTATAAGCAGTAAATTTCTGTGATAAAGAATAATTTGTTTCGGTACTATTCTGCAGAGGGAACACATGATTCGTCCTAAAGAAAATATCTTTCTAAAAAATTCATTTCCAGCAGGGTTCTCACTAGGATTTTGCTAACTTGAGTCCCAGGACTCAAGGTTTCTGAGAAGGTTGCGTCCCAGCTAAATTTGATGCGTCCCAGAAAAATTATGTTGAGTCCCAACTAAATTATTGCAGTATCCTTCCATCCAAACATCAATAAAAATCTTTATCATTTTATCAGTTTGTTTACGCAGTATTAACATATTCAAGTATATAAACTGGTAATGCATTCAAGCTATATTCTAAAATACACGCGTAATCAATTGCCATAAAAATAACTTGGTGTTTATAAAGCTAAAAAATCAAGTACCCAGAAGTTGACTGTATACAATCACAGGTGTCATGTGCAATGAGGCGTAACTAATCCTGTCGGTCGTCTGCACTGGGTGAAATTCACGAGGTAATCAAGCCGCATTGTGTATACAAGCAGTAATTATGGTTTCTACATGTAGGTAACACTCAAGATTCAAAAGTGTTTTTAAAAAAAAGCTGCAGTGTGTTTACAGCTGTCGGAGTTTGGCATGCGACACTATTATGACTATGGACTAATAAACATGAAATATCTTATGATCAATCCCTGTTTTAAAAAAAAAGAGAAGTAAGTATAAGGAAAGTTGTTTCTTGGATAAACTTTATGATAGTTACAGGAAGGTTTCGATTAAATATTTCTTTGACAAATCCTAACATCTAAATTCCCCGTTTTCGAAATCACCCGAATTTTCTCGCTAACGAGGACGCGTCCGATCACGAGTCCGCGGATGCATCGTTTTTAAGAACCTTGCGTCCCAAGTAATTTTGCTGCGTCTAGGACGCAGATTCTTGCGTTAATGAGAACCCTGTTCCAGTAATGAATTTATAACCATGATAACAAGCAAATGTATTTAGCCATCATCTTATTATAATATGTTGACAGCACGACCGTTGGGGCGAGCTTAGTTCTGTATAATATATTATTGGACACTTATTCACTTCAAACTTAAATCTGCCCCTTCAATCTGTATAAGACATTTAGACCATCTATACTGTGACGTCATAAGATGTTGTATATAAGTTGCCAAACTACCCATAGTCCGCTGCGCTTCCATACAAACAAACTCTGATGGAAATTTGGTAAGGCCAAGATAAATAAATAGTGTGTTTCCTATTCGAACCTAAGAAAAAGTAGGGTAGGTGGTAGGAAAAATATTTTATTTATTTTAACATTTTATTGGCAAGCACGCTACCATTTTTCCCTGGGAAAAACTGGCAAAACATTTCTGATTAATGTGTATAGGATATGCATTTTCTGAAACACGGATGTGATCGAGATTAGGATTTCTAATAGTGAAACCGGAATTGTTTACTCCTGGAAAGATATCGCGGATAAATTTTTCAGGGTCAGCTCATATATTTTATGGTTGGTCGGGGTACTGGAAACACACAATTTATTTATGTAGGCCTAAGTTTATTAGTTATCCAGGTCCAATGAAGGGTGTATGGGGATTTACCCTGGGTTTTATTTCATACACCCTGAGGCCGAAGGGTGTATGGAATACAACCCAGGGTAAATCCCCGTACACCCTTGATTGGACCTAGATAACAAATTTATTTCCTATGTACCCAAATAAGTTCTTTGTAAACAAGTCCAATCAACTGTGTTTCAAGCCATCGATAAGATTTACTACGTCCTACAATGCATCATGACGTTATTTGCTTTTTATCCTGAGAAACTATGCATTGTGACGTCACTTTTTTTTTTACAACCGGCTCAAGTTGGGTGTATGGAAATTTATACCTGACTTTGTAACCAATCAAAGCTCATGTTACAAACTACATAGGAAATAAGTATTTTTATAACAAAGTCTCAAAAGGCAAATATTTAACAAAAAGGGTCTAATCTATCTCTCTGAAATTTCTATTTATTGTTGAACTTTTCTTTGGTTATCACGAGAATATAAGGCAAAGATCAGCACCGCAGTTATGAAAACAAAGTGTATTTCTGTTGCATTGTGGGTACAAAGGTTGCAGACTAAAAAAATTCATTTGATTCGATGTGCACAGACCAAATTTTCTCTTCGTCCAGGTGTAGTAAGAGCTCGCTGCACTTGCTTTATAGGACATAAGTTTAGGAACACAATTGCTCTATTTATAAAGATAGATTGTCATTAAATACACTTTTATGTTAGCACCTAAAACATCTCTTAAACCATAGAAGTTTTTTTTAGAAATTCCAGTTTGAAATTAGCACTCCTTATGTTAAGGTGAACTTATTAGGTAGATGTAACTGCTGTTACTTTACAATGAAGAAGACAAGAAAAAAGATGATTCTAATGCAATTTTTTTTATTAATAAATTATTTTTTATAGATTTCAAAATGTAGCAAGTTCCATTAATTTTTCATCAGTATTTTTGGCTTATCTTTCAGTGGCTAGAAATCAAATTACTACATTTGAATGAAAGAACATTTTAAATCAATCTTTTAGTTTATTTTACAAGGAAATATTCTGTACATCCAAGGAAAACTTTCATTGTGCTATGATAAGAATACTTTTCACGTACCAATCCTACATTGTGACACGTACTTAAGACTTATATCCTGCGTGGTTCAATATTATTTAAGATTGTTAGCTTGATCATTGCAAGAATTTTAAACTAATGGGATACTTGATTTTTATGTACATTTTTATTTATACTGTATCTTTAACACCAAAGCAGGTTTTATGATCATTTTGAAATAGATTCAACTTAAACAATGTTTACAGGAAATACTGTAAAGAGTAGACCCATTTTTACAACATTATATGTTAATTTATGTTATAGTCACTGTCATAATTATGAAAAAAAAATGCAAGAGGAAATTTGCTGTATTATTTCTATGACCTACTTCAAGTAAAACATAATAAAATGTTTGTTAAAGTGTTCAAGTTAGTAACAATGAAATAGGCATTTTCCTCATGATTTTTTTTTTGGTAGTAGGATGGAGCGTATGAGCACAAAATTAACTTCCAAGTCCCACACAACTCCAAACAATCACATTTAATGTTTCACAAACACCCAAAGAATCATTGCTTTTACATTAAGGTTTGCAACCATGTGTAATTAGCTATGATTCATACACTACAACTAGTCTATTGTTTGCTTTCATTCATGTTTATAAATACAGTCTGCAATATAGCATCAATCATCAGTTTGTGACCTTTGACCCTAGACTTTAGGTTAATCAGCTGAGTCATCTTTCTCTGTGATTTTTTTTTTTTTTTTTTTTTTTTTTTTGTGATTTGCCTGCTTCAGCTTCATGATTTAAAGTCTATCAAATCTCTGTGCCAACATGTCAGCTATTACAGCTTCCTTGATATCATTTAACTTTTTTGCATGTTTGTGAAATATTTAAATTCTTTTTCATGTGACACACACACTGTAAACACACTATAAAGAGATGCCCAACATGAACTTGCATGCAACACTCTGGACATCTGTCAGTTTATTTATGAGAACAAGATTCATTATTGCATCACTGGAGTAAACCACAGCCCATATGTTCTCAGTCTTAACCATGGCTCTGTAACTGATACTGTGTGTATTGATCAGAGAACCCTACACAACAATGGCCTGAATTGATGGACACATGTACCAATCACAATCACTGAAGCAGAAATGGAGCCCTATGTTGAATGTTATTGGTTATATTGACCCAGACACTAGTTTAATGACGAAGTAATGACTACATTGATTTGTTAAAGCTTTTGGTTTATTGATAGTTAGTTTTACACTGTTAAGTGTTTAATGGGGATGTCCAAGGTGTATCCCAGACTACTTCCAAGGTGCTGCAATAGCTGTTCCTCACATTCTGTAGTCATTGTTGTGTCTCTTCAGGCTAAGGCTGTGTTTGTTTTCATTCCACCCAAGGCAGGAAATCAAGCATGACCTTTAACCTCAGAGGTTGTGAAGAGGTTACAACCCATCGTTATAATGACACTTTAATGGCCTGATGTATAGTGGACTGTGTATTGGTATGGATGGTTTTATTGGTGTACAGTCTCATTTATCCCTTTGTTGAGTAATTATACAGCTGTTTGGTTTAGGATTATCTGTTTAACTTTACTTTTAATATAGACATTCATCACATTCAGTACACATGTACTATACAACACAGTGTATTTAGTAAAATTAAAATTGGTAATTGTGTCTTTAATAAACATTGATAAATTTCAGTAGATAAAAAAGATTTATTTGCAAGATTTCAAATTTTACATAAGAAACTTTATAGTACTGTATTATTTACTTGGGATTTTTCTAAGTAAATCAAGTGAAGTGGTGAATCAGATACAGTGTATTGTATAGATATGATAGACTGGAGTTGCTTCCCTTGAGTGGGATCTGTGTGTTGGGACCCTTTCTATTGACATTTGTTCCAGACTTGGGGGGACTGTAAACACTACA